CATGAGATAGAAGAGCGCAAGCAGAAATCACTTTTTGATATAAAATAGGCATGAATGGAGCGCCAAGCAGCACGTTGCAGTGCAGTGTATGCTGCTGAATTCAAGCTACCCAAGGAAAGTAAACGATATTGCCCTGATAACGATAAAAGGTTCGTAAAAATATAAGAAAGGTGCGAAGCAAACGACATTAATTTGAGCCCTGGAAAATATTTTAATCAAGTAAAGATGAAATTGAGTGATTTGGTCTTGTAAGGATGATTTTTTATAAACGAAGGCATTTAACTATTCCAAATACGATTTCATATTCGACATTACTAATTGTATACAGAAATTACTTGAATAGCTATTATAAGTAGTAATCAATAAAAGTTTTTTGACCTTGTATTCGCAACTTGATCATATTTGTAGGAAGACCTAGAGTAACGCACCTAGTCGGGAGTCCATAGTCTGCATGATAATTTCCAGATTTGGACCCTGGACGTGGTACATTCTCAGACGTTTGGCCGGCATCCTCAGTGAGCCTTGCCAGTATTTGCACCACATTACGACTTGTCAAAGAGGCAAGTGAAGCCGATCCTTTGACCAACTATCTGCTAAACAATTGTGAAATCTCTCCTTCTTCCCTGGTCTATTTATTAATCGTATATCCTCGTGCCACCTCTTCTTAATTTCTCAATTGCTTATTTAAATGCAATATGGTGTGCCATTTTGATCGGATTTCATGAGAAATCTCCACACCCTTCACCTTTGTGCTGGAAATGTTGATCAAAGTCTGCCATACTATTCCGCAATCCTCTTCGCATAGATCTTATCAGAGTCTCCCTCTAGTCCCGTAGGATCTGCATCCTACCTTCCTGGTTCAGGTATTTCACTCAACCCCTGTCACCCTATATGTAATACTCTTAGCATTATTTCCCACATTGTCTCAAGCCTTTGGTGGCACGCTCACTCCCGCCTCACTGAGTAGGCCCCTAAAATTCAGGATTCTTAAGCTGGATGGGAGACTAACTTGAGGCTAAAGTGCCTGAGTAATTCTCATAATCAAGTCTTTCTTTTATTGACCATGTCTATGACCAAACACGTCTACTGTTAGCCAACTAGCTCCAGCCATACCATCTTGGTCTTCATATCTACGACCTAGAACTTTATGCCAAAATAAACCACATTAAACTGCATTTTCATATTTTCTGTTGTCTATTTTTAAATGATTTATTCCTTTTTTTCTCTTGTTCTCTAATAGCAATTTGCATCGTTACCTGAAGCTAAGCCATTTCGGTCAAGCCAATCGCCATGCGGACCTGACGACGTCAGTGTCACCCAGTTTCGTGTTTGCCGGTTCGCATTGCCCGATAATTGTGCGCCTTGTCGAGTCGTTGTGGGCACACGCTGTTACGATTGGCCAGCCGGCCTCGAGTCTACGTTCCACAATCTCTTTGCCAGGTCGCATTGACTCTGGAGGGGGCGGTCCTGCTACACCCTTAACGACGGAGCATGGTTCGAGTTTCGGTTTCTCAATCAGCCGGCTGGCCAAAGATCCAGAGATTATATCGAAGCAGAGGTTAACCGAAGCCCTCAGGTGTCTGCCAGTCAATCCACATTGTAAGAGTTGAGCATCCCCAATAAAGCCTAGCATCTTTGGCTCTATTAGAAGATATATTAAGTGTTTTCACTCAATTTCGTTTAATGCGATGCAGGACTGGTAGTTGAACTTTCCCACAGTGACATGAGTAGAGCTGACGTTTACATTAAATTTCACAACCTTGCATTCCCAAAAGGTAACCTCGACACGTTAACCACTACGCCACATTGCCACGAATGTCCTTGAGTCACAGAGAAGATGTAATTTTCAAAGCATGTCATGCATTTTTCATATCACATTCTGTATTGGGATTTTCGATGAAGTAAACTTGTGTTGTCGATTACTATAGCAAATATAAGTTTGCTTCATCTGCAATCCCAACACAGAATGTGATATAAAAATGTCTAACTTTTCTTGAAATTCACATCTGCCCTGTGACCCAAGGGCACTCGTAGCAATGTAGCGTAGTGGTTAACGTGTCAAGATTACACGCTGCACTGTCATGGTTTGACTCCCGCTTGGGGTGTTGATATATCCTAGGCAAGATCAAAACTACAGTCCACCCTGGGGGAGGTCACATTTTGGGAAAGCAAAGCTATGTGAAATTCAATGTAAATGTCGGCTCTACTCATATCATTGTGGGAAAATTCCACTACCAGTCTTTTATCACCTTCAACGAAATAGAGTGAACACAACTCATGTATATGATTTACTGGTAGTTTCGAGAACCTTCTTTATTAGCAGATTCGAACTACCGTACTAGATATTAGAGCGCTGGAGGGTCGGGTTGGAAAGTCTTGTATTGAGTAGCGAAAAATGGTATTCCGAATATTTTTCGAAGCGATCTGTAGATATTGAATAGTTATTGGGTCCCTTCAGTCTATTTCGAGTGATTTCAGGATTGTTAATTGAATTTCTCACAATGCAATAAGTGGAAGACAATACGAGGTCAGATACTTTTACTCGGCCTTGCCTCCTAAAAAGTCGGACCGAAATTTTGATCTCGTCTTTATATCACCAACATTCCAAACAGGGTTCGAAACGAAGTCGTGTGCGTAAAGCTTAAATGCCTTCCTCTACCAAGCTGTAGCATGCGTCAGTGGGCTCTGAAGATAAGCCGGTCTTCTTTCTCAGTCCTCATTTTAATAATTTGCCTTATTTCTATGAGGCAAACTTGTATTTCGAATAACAGTTCCAGTCACCACAGGTTGCCTAAGCTGATGAAGGACTGATAGTCGAATCTTCCCACAATCATTCAACTATCAGTTCTTATCAACTAATGTGGCCTTGGGTGACTAGAACTTTTATGCGAGATGTAATGCAAGTCTTGGAAACGTCCTTTTCTGATTATAAATTTGTGTTACAATCGAGTAAGTTCCAGCCTATCAGTTGATCTTGCGTGAGAATCTGATTCGCTCGGGTACTTACTTAAAAACTCTATCGTTTGCATGTATCCTATACAACTTTTATGTAATCCAAATTGCATTTAAACGTTTAGGCAAGGCGTATTTGTACTCTTCAAAACAATAAAGGTATGAAGGCTGTTTGACCTTGTTTTTGCAACTTGGTCATTGGTAGGAAGACCTAGAGGAACGTATCTAGTCCGGAGTCCATTGTATGCATGATAATTTCCAAAGTCGGACCATGGACGTGGTACATTTCCAGACGTTTCGCCATCATCATCAGTGCCTCTTGCCATTTTTAGCACCACACTACAAATCGTCAAAGCGACAAGTGAAGCCGACCCTTTTACCAAACGTGTGCTAAACAGTTGTGTTATCTCTCCTGCCCTGGGCTAGTCACATTCCCTATATTCTCGTATCACGCCTTCACTGTTACCATTTTTACCGTGCTTATTTAGATGTAGTGTGGCGTGCCCTTTTGAGCAGCGTTCATGAGAACCCTCCACACTCCATGCTGGCGTTCTCACTCCCCTTCACCCTTGTGATTTTTCTATTTCTAATACCAAGTCTATCACTTCCTATGTCCTAGTCTCTTGTGTGCCAATCCACAACTGTCGTGGCACTGCTTGCTTTGATTATGCTCAATGTTGAACCACAGCATTTGTGGGTTGGCACACAAGAAACTAGGACATAGGAAGTCATAGACTTGGTATTAGAGATAGAAACAGGATAGACGCGACGGCGATTGGAGCTAGTTGGCTGACAGTAGGTTTGACAAAAGGCATGGTCCATAAAGCAAAGGCTCGATCATGAGACTTACTTAGATGCTTTAGACTCGAATTAGTCATCCAGACGCAGGGGATGGGTAATAACGCCTGGCGCACAGATGAGATGGCATGGATTGAGTGAAATAGATTGTAGATACGAAGAGAAATTGGGTTTCGATTAATCTCCTGAGATAACATTGTTAGGGGGAACTTCATTTCGTATGAAATTGCATGAAGAAGAGATTCGTTGGTCGATCTCACCAGATGAGGACGGATGAAA